AAAGAGGTAGTTGGGTTCTTCTCTCTGAGAATGAGGATCAGTGAGTTTTGTTCTTTTTTCTCCCCCTTTCACTGAGAGAGGTAGCTCCTGGAAATCAAAGTCAGGACAACTGAAGGGTCAGGCCTTCGTTTGTCTAACCAATTTGTACCACGTTAGTCACCCTTTCTGGAAAACTCCTTCCATCCAAGCAACTATTACTTTAAAAAATGATGGCTTCTTTTCCTGTACTTCAGTAAAGTATGAAATGTCTGGGCTTTCTTTCTACCTTTTAAGTGGTAGATGTTTTAATTGCATGAGCAACGTAGCTCGGATTCACTCATTCTTATGTCCATGTTTTTATCGATGCCAGAGAGCTATTTTCCTCATATAGGACTGCCAGGCCAGATCTACAATCACTGAAACAGAAAAATTCGTAGCAGCTGGGATTGTTCTCCTCTTGCCCCAAAGACCCTGGGACAAGCTGTGCCCTTCCTGAGGCTGTGCCTTGAAGAAATCCCAAACATCTGAGAGTACCTGTTACAACTGAATTGGCTCTGAGAAGAACAAAAACATTTAAAGCCAATGACTGTACATTAAAGAGTAGACTGTGAAGAACAGATAAGAGCAGATCATTGCTCTGTAGAAACCACTGATTTTTGTTATACAGTTCTCCAGTCCCTGAATGTTCTATTGAAAGAAACTTCTTGGTTTTACTGCGTAATAACTCTTCACATGCTGCAAAGCTTTTTTGATATTGGTACAATATTCAAGGGGTGCTATAGAAGAACTGATTGCCACTCCATTTTCACAGGCAAGGCTTCCATACTGAGACAGGTCATGTAAGACAAAAAGTAGGATTTGGGTCAAAACAGCAAATGGTAGGCTGTTATAAGCCCCACTGAATCTAATAAATGTTTAAGATCCACCTTTGCTACATTAGATGGAAAAAGGCTTTGGTGTCTGAATGGTGAAACAAAATCATGAGCTATTTTATGTTCTCCAGGAAAATCAGTAAAGGGGCTTTTCTTTTGTGCTAACAAATTAAAATGATGCATTGTTGTGTTTCCTCTAGGTAAAGGAAATACTGACAGCCCTTGGTTTGCTGACTTGTGCCAATACAAGGACTGGGAGTCTTTCTGGAGGCCAGAGAAAACGTCTTGCCATTGCTTTGGAGCTGGTGAACAATCCTCCTGTCATGTTTTTTGATGAACCAACCAGGTACTTCAAAGCCAAAAATTAAAGATAGACCAATATTGCTTCATATAGTAGAACAGTGCTTCAGAGAGGTTATTCACCTCTAAGTCCTTGGAAAAGGCTCAGTTTTTGTTGCCTGTAAGTACTGAATAAGGCCCCAAGAAATAATTTCATTTGGGTACTAAGTGCCTTGGGTCACTGCTGTAACTGATGGCACATGAGGCTATAAATAATTTTAAAGTAGATACAGACTGAAACAGGAAGGAAGAGAGAGAGGAAATTATTTTCAGATTGTGGCATGAGATTACTTTTTCAAGCAAAAATGGCTTGAATATAAGCATTTTGAAGTGTAACTTTTAATAGTGAATGTAGCATATTTAGAGTTAAATTCTGTAATCAGTCTAGGAGGAGGCCAGGAGAGCTATGAATATGTATCTATTCATTAAAGTTGGGAGCATTTAAATCTGCAGTCCTAAAATATAGAAATCCCTTAAGGCATCTTTGAGAAAACTCTTACTTTTCATTCTCAGGCATGTTTCCAACTTAATTAAAAGACTGATGGAGAAATACAAGCATAAGGTTGGCATATGATAAATTAAACTGCTACACAGAAAATTTATAAAAGGATAATGGTGAGAGACCAAAGTAAAAAATATGTGTGCTAGCTTTGAGTGGTGCCTATGGACCTGTGGATAACAAACTGCTTCTTTCCTTTTGTTCAGTGGCTTGGATAGCGCGTCATGTTTTCAGGTTGTCTCCCTGATGAAGGCTTTAGCCCAGGGTGGCAGGTCCATCATCTGCACGATTCACCAGCCCAGTGCTAAACTGTTTGAGTTGTTCGATCAGGTATTATTTTCAAACTCTTTTCTTTATGTGTGATTTAGGTAGGTTATACTTTTGAGGATACATTCTTTAAGTAAAAACATGAATAATTCTGGTCTATGGTTTCAAATAAAAAAATTAAATAAATAAGAGCAAAATATACTTTTTGATTATGTTTTTTAATTCTTCTCTGCCTATTTTTTTACATGTGATATTTTTAAAGAAACTGGCTGATGTGTTTGTGAAATCATTATTATCACAGTTGCAATTTTCATACCTTCAGCCACCACTGCTCCTGGGCACAGGGCTGTCAGTAAGTTAGAGTAATGTAAGAGCAAGAGAGCTTTAGTGCCAATGTCTGCAATGTTGCTATTACACATTCTCATCCTAGCTACACAGGTGTAAATTCAGAAGAGTTTATTCATGTGAAATAATAATCGTTAAAATTAAGTCAGTTGGAGATCTTTTCTTCAACCTGACAACAAAATATGGGCCATGCATGTTTAGGTTAGATTTAAATTTACTTTAATCTTGTTAGGAAATTTAAATTAGACCTGTGGGAGCTAAGAGAAAACCTACTACACCATAGGTGAACAAGATCTTGCAGATTGCCAGTCTGGCAAGGAGGTTTATTTAAAGTCAATAGTGTGGCTAAAAGTCAGAATAATCAGGCTGTTTCCCCTTGTTGTGCTGTTCTACGTCTCCTACCTCTGCTCCTCTTCCTACATTCACCAGCCTCATCTTCCATCATGTCTGGAAATCAGGTGGCTCGGCTGTACAGTTTCTTGCCTATTTTCATTATGTGTCTAAGGCTGGAATGAGTCTGTTTCTGCATTAATGTGCTTTAAGTCCTGAAGGGAATATTTGCAGAATTCAAACCTTAAGCATTTCATTTTCCATTAGTTGTAATTCCATTCAAAGGTAGTTCCAAGTGGTGACAAATCTTCCCAAGGTGTTCTTCCTAGAGGGACAACAAGAGGTCATTAGGTTCATGGATTGTTGTCATACTGATAGCTGGTTCAAATACCTTGCTACTATTCCACAGTTTTCTTTTTCCTTTTTTTAAAATTTTTCTTCACTTTACTTTGTTTTTCAGCTCTATGTTTTAAGTCAAGGTCAATGCATTTACCGTGGGAAGGTATTAAACCTTGTCCCTTACTTGAGAGATTTGGGTTTGAATTGCCCAACCTACCACAATCCAGCAGATTTTGGTAAGTTTGAATATTTGAATAGTTTATATAATTTATTTTGTATTTGATTAGCACCTTCAGGGTAATGGGGACCATGGTGTGTTTTACAGTTGTGTACATGTAATGTGCATGTGTACATATATGTACCAAAATTCAAAATAAAATTATTCAAATTTTTTCTAAGTAATTTGAATGCCATCTAGTGGTAAAATTTAGTGAATATTTCTCTCTGGTGGAAGTCCAGGTTCAGGAAATGAAAGGTAAAACATATTATTTACTGCTTTGTAGTAATTAATCTTACTGGCTTTTCAAAGTGGCTCCAGTATTCTGGTTTTTTATCTTGAACAATCCCGCTGTGGTATTGTACAGCTAATAGCATTGAGGGTTTTTTCGTTGTTGTTTCTTAATTCCAAAGTAGCAGTAAGGACCACAAAAATAGACTTTTGTAATTTTGGATTGCTAAGACAATCCCTTTCCTCTAAAATGGTTCATTTAACTTCCAGGATGAGGAGAACTCTCTGAAGATTTATAGAAATATATGTTTAAATCATGTGTGTGTACATATTAATTTGGATGTGGTATTTTAGAGCCTGTTTTAGGCAAAACCCCTGTTTCTGTCAGTACAACAAAATCAAGGCTTGTAACTAGTCAGCAGGGTAAACCAGTAACTTACCTTCTGGTTTGTGTAGTTATGGAAGTAGCATCTGGTGAATATGGAGACCAAAACGGCCGACTGGTAAGGGCAGTACGAGAGAGGATATGTGACACAGACTACAAGAGAGATGTTGGTGGTGAGAATGAGTTGAATCCCTTCCTCTGGCACCGGCCTTCTGAAGAGGTATTTTGTGTATCACAACTAATGGGCGTGGCTTGAGGTTGGAGGGGGAGGAAGCGAATTTAAATCCTCAGTCAATGGAGAAGGTTTCTGGGCACATTCAGCTGATGAGAGTGGGGTTTTGTGAATGAAAACTAAGTAAAATACTGCAAAGAAAGAAGTTTATTCTTTTATGTGTTTCTGCAGGATTCCTCCTCCACAGAAGGCTGCCACAGCTTCTCCGCCAGCTGCCTAACCCAGTTCTGTATCCTCTTCAAAAGAACTTTTCTTACCATCATGAGGGATTCGGTAAGACTGTGTTTATAATAACTTTTGTAGCTGAAAAGTCTATTTAGCTGGTTACGAGGTAGTGTAATATGCCTTAAAGGTCCTGTCCGACAGCCTGTGCATGAAGATTGTCACAGAATTTCAGACGAAAGAGACTGATCTTTCAGTCTTGCTGTTAACTGTGCCATCTTCATTGTGAACAACAGCTTTCTTCAGAGGAACTCAGAAGCATCCAGTCTAAAAACCTAAAGCCTAAATCCTGTCTGTGCTGGCAGGTCCCTTATGCAGTTACTTATCCTACTGAAAGATGAGTGGGAGGTTGTACTGGTGTGTCACAAAATTAGTTTTCCCAGAAGATTCAGGGTGGCAGAGATAAGAATTTCAGTGTGACGTAAGGTTAATACTTAAAGTCTTTGTTTTTCCCTGTGAAACAGAAAATTAATAAATACAAATTTTGCTTCTCTGAAAATGAAACGTTTCTGTTTTCATACATTTAATCAAGATGAAGTAAGTATCATAATGAAACTCGTCATTCCCAAGTTAAAAACATTTCTTTCACCTTTTTTCTTAAAAAAACCCCAACCCTCTTCAAAATCCCAAACCCTGCAGTTTTCATGTAAGTTGATTAAATGTTTTGGGTGCCTAGTTGGCATTATCAAAATGTAGTGGGGCTTTTTTTTTTTTTCACTTGACAAAGTTTTTCTTACCTCTAAGTAGCGGAGTTGTTGGTGAATTTAAGAGATTAGGGGTATTTACATTGTCTGATTGATCCTCCTGCTTTGAAATGCCCTGTATGTAGGATTGTCCCTTCATTAGCAGGCATGAGTTAAGCAGATGAGCTTCCTCAGCTGGGCCAACCGACCGTAGGTGCACACCCGTCCATGGGACTCACCCACGTACAGTGTAATTAGTACTGGTTGGCTGAGTGCTTTTCTCAGTGGCAAGTTTGCAAAATTTGCAATTTGGTAAATCTGAGTGTGGTTTTTCTGCTGCTGCTTCTGCAGTTTGGAAGGTTTTCAGTGCTTTACATGAGAGGGAATAAAGACAATGTATACATTAATATATGCACTAGTTTGACATACTTGTCCTTAGAAAAGGGGAACACCAGACAATATAGCCACACTGGCATACACATGGTGGATTGAGATGAGGTAGTTTGGAAACCAAAAGCAGTTAAGCCACAAGGAGCCAGGCGTGAGTGAGTTACTTTTGTGACAGGGTAAGCTGAGCTTCACTACTCTGCTCTTACCCTGCATCCAGGGAGGTGTCTTTTTAGGATACTACTGTGTGCAGTGTAGACATGTCCACACAGAACTACAGGTCTGGAAGAAGCTTACTGGACCATTGTGTCCAGGCCTCTCCTGTCACATAACCACAGTATTCCTTCCCTTTCAGAAAGGGAAACACTGTATTGAGTGCCATAGTAAAAGCTGTCAGCTGTTTTCCCGCTACTTTGGTTGGGAACATATGGCAGAACCATACCTTTCTAGAGGTTAGGAAGTGTCTTCTTACATCCAGACCATCTATATTATGCCTATTTGTTGTTTTGCCAGCACATTTCTTTGTCATACCTTGTTCTTCTACCTTGCTGTTTTACATTATAGTGAATTTGTCATTCAATGATTAGTTAAGTTGTTGAATTTTGCCTTCCTGTAATCTGAAATAGTTTGCACATCTGTCTAGTACCAAATATTTGGTCAAAAATAAATTGACATGCTCGTGTGGGTGGGCTGTTGTAATCCAAGGTGTACATCTTCACATTCTGCGTGTTGCTCAACTAACCGATCAGAATGTCTCTGGTACACATGGAGAGCATATCTCAGAGGTGTGCAGGCACTAACCATGGATCATACATACAGTCCTCAACTCGTCTCCACCAAGGGGAAAATGTAACTTGTTTTCTGATATGTAGATGCAAGAACAGTGTTGTTTATAAGATTTTTTTCCTGCTCAACTGTAAAGGCTTGCAGTTGTTCCGCATTTTATTTCTTTTGTTCTTCCATAGCTCTTGTAGGAATACTGTATTGCAGGGAAGGCACAAAAGGCTAGTTTATGCCTGATTAAGTTAGTTTCATCTACACAAGCCTGAAATACCTTTTTTGCCTCCCTTCTGCTCTGGGAAATGTATCTTTTAGCGAGAGAGAAAGTCTGCTTCTCCTGATGAATGAATATTTTGCCAATTGACAGGGTTAGTACAAAGGACACAGGCACCAGATTAAAAAAAAAAGTAAACTTATTTTTACTTATGTTAGAAGTGATGAAATGATGAGGAAAATAATACAGTGAAAATTAATTAAAGCAATATAAGGTAAAGCAGCAAAATAATAAGTGAACTACTATAGCAAGCATAAAATAAAGTAATGCACCTAATCATTACTACATAGAGTTAGCGATAGTGATTAAGAAAGATACATCACCACTTGCCCTAATAGTACGTTACCATCATCCAGATCCGCAGTCACTGGGGACCCCGGGTGCAGCGAGGATTTGAAGAACCCTTCCCAGCAATTGGAAGATCTCTATACAGAGTGTCCACTGTATAGATAAGGCTTCCAAATTTCCCTGCAAACCTTCCCTGCTTTTATACAGTTGAATAAACAACTTTATTTCTTAAACTACGAAAAACATCTGGTGTGGTTTTCTCCTTGTTAACTTCCATCTTGAGTCTGGCCAGGGCAGGAGAGGGGAGACAACAAGAACAAAAGAATCTACTAATCTTGATTATGTATCTCTCAACAAAGCTTGTCACAACTTCCCATATTCCTTTGCCATCTGTGGCAATAGGGCACAGCTGTACTTACTTTTGGCTACTGTTACATAATTAGTATCTTTCTGCTGACTAATCTTACACAGCAAGCGTTACAGCAAAGCTCTATAAGCATTACAACAAAACTTTTATAAATTGGCATATATTAATAAGTAGTACATTGCATATGTGATCAATATTACACATATCAGATATATTGTTAGGTTGTGAGGTTCATCTAGAGGTCAACTTTGGTTCAGGGACTCACTGCTCAGGCCCTAGTATTTCAGTGAGGGCCAATGGTTCCATGACATTGTCTGACAGTAAGATTTCAGGTTGCAGCATTCGCAGTTTCTGCCTTTGTTTACAGGAAGACATTTTCTGTACTGTAATAGGCATGTCTGATTCACACTGGGAAGCTCGTTACTGTAAGTTTTCCTTAGCTGAAGCCCAGTTTGCCAGGAGGAAATGAACATTTCTGTATAAGTTCTTCTGGACATAAGTACTCCTTTTCTGCAATCTGTATATCTGATTTCAGTAATATTGCTCTTATTTTTGAGCTCAGACTTTCTGATCAGAAATACTACTTGTTCATTGCTTGTAGGTCCTGACACACTTGCGTATCACCTCACACATTGGTATTGGACTGCTCATCGGCTTGCTCTACTTAGGCATTGGCAATGAAGCGAAGAAAGTCCTCAGCAACTCCGGCTTCCTATTTTTTTCCATGTTGTTTCTTATGTTTGCTGCGCTTATGCCAACTGTCCTTACATGTGAGTACCAGTCATACTGTTAAACCAATGGACGGGGAGATTGCCGTAAGCTGGGATGGTGGTGTAGTGTATCTCTTTTGTACAGCAGAGCATTTGACTTGTGCTTCTACTTCTTAGATAGGTGTGGGGGTTAATCTTGCACTCACTGAACTGCTGTGTAGAGGCAAACGGAGATAGGCTTGTTCAGTGGCACCTCTCTCTCCCCAGTTTTGCCAGTGCTTCTCAAGCCCGGTAGTTCACTGTTACAATCCTGGACAGGAATTTCCCCTTTTCCTCAGGTGCCAGTGCATCTCAACTGTGTCATGAGCTTGTGGTTGGTTGTAGCGAAGCTGTAATAATTTCTCTAGTCATTACTTCTGCATGAGATCAGCATATTCATGTGGTGTCAGAAGCAAACTCTTGCAGTACGGACTGTTCCATACTTCCTCTGGGAGCGCTGTTACTTTGGATTTTCTGTTGGACCAAAAGGAATAACCAGATTCTTTAACACCATTTTTATTTCAAAAAGCCACTTTGAAGGAGGTTCACGTAGTCTGAGTAGACTGGTACATATCCTAGACAGTAAGCAACTCTCATGGTTGACTTGTTACATTTCGTTGCAAGTCATTGAAACTATTTTTGGTCTGTCAAAGGCCTCAGAGTTCCAGTCCCACTGTGGGACTGCAGCAGTTCAGGATTAGACATGGATAAACTATGTTACCATGTGCAAGAATGTTGCTCACTGACAACCTAATTTACTAATTTGTGTTCTCTGCAGTTCCTCTTGAGATGGGAGTGTTTCTTAGAGAGCATCTGAACTACTGGTACAGCCTGAAAGCCTACTATCTCGCCAAAACCATGGCTGATGTTCCTTTTCAGGTATATGCTCTACTCTTCAATAACACAAGAAACATTTAAGCTCATGGCAAGTCCACTTGCCAAGAAGATCAGTACTGGTATTTTATCTGTCTGAATAGTGGAGAAACTGTCCGTATGTGTGTGCTGAAGCTTCAGGTCCAAATCAGAAGCACCCTAAGATTAAACAGCAGGACTTCACAAAAGCCAAGACCTGACCCAATTTTTTTGAATAAACAGATGACCATCTGGTTTTTTGCAGAAGGGGAATTGTCAAGGGGTGTGAGTCGGATCTGTTTTATAATGCCCAGGTGGTAAGATATATACCACAGTCTGTGGCAGATGTATTTATTCTTCCCAGCCATGCCTGTCATGTAATGGAAAGGCTGAGACCTGTGGATTAACTAGAACTCCCTATGTTTTTATCTTTTTCAGAGTAACATTAAATGTTTGGCTTTAATGGACTAACTCCAAGTGTATCTCCTTGCAGATCATGTTTCCTGTGGCTTACTGCAGCATTGTGTACTGGATGACTTCACAGCCCTCTGATGCACTCCGATTTGTCCTCTTCTCAGCCTTGGGAACCATGACATCTCTGGTGGCTCAGTCACTGGGTCTTCTCATAGGTGCAGCCTCTACATCTCTCCAGGTACTGAAGTGTTTTGTGGTCTCACAGGAACCCTGCTGTCCCATAACACTGACTGCTTACTGTGACTGCTGCTGTGTCCCCAAGACGTTTGTTGAGAGATGACAGGCAAAAAGTTGTCTTGGTCTGATATAGCTGTTTGATGCTTCCCATTAGCATCAACTCAAACAGCATGTACAAGCATTGGATGTGAGGCTCTGAAGTTCCTTCCCCATCCAAATGGGGCTCTGCCTGCCCCTGCTTTTAGTGGGTTGTCACTTACTCTTAATCCCAGGCTGAGCAGGTTTTAGAAACTGCAGGACTGAACAATTTCTGTGCATCTGCGAAGTGGAGGTAGGCCACGAGGATCAGCAGCTCAGGAGAGGGTTCTTCCATACAGATACAAAATGTTGCAGGAGGCGACGTAGGAAAAAACTTGCCCAGAAACTAAACCTCTGTGGAGGGAGGGACTGGCGCAGCTGTTGGCATGACTGTCACACTGGAAGCTGGCCTTGTAACTCCATTCTGCTTCCTGGCAGGAGGTGTGCTGAGGTGACCATTCCACAGCAGAATTGCTTTGTGGTGCTTGTGATAGCAGATGGTATTGACATTAATATGCATTGGTGCTATCAAGATTTCTGCAGTTGAAGGCTTGATTCCCTCTCTGTGCCACGCTGCTGAGACCAGAATAGCTGTATTGTGAGATCCCTGTGCTTCTGCTTTACCCAGAGATACCTGTATGGCCCTTTGCCCTGGATGGGATGTAGACAGGATGACCTGGAGCTGGGCCAAGATCTATCTTTCCCACCAAAGCTGCCCAGCTGGAGATGTTCCTTGTCCTCTTGACCACAATTTAGGAACGGTTGAACCTACTGTTCCTGTGGGGTTAATGAGGAGGGAGACCTGTGTGTCCTCAGTGGGGAATGAATGAGAAAGGATAATATTTAGGAAGAGGAGTCTCATACCCAGAGTAGCAAGGGAATCACAGTGCCCATCTTGCTCTGTAAACTTCTTGGTGGGTCCAAGTCATTTGGAGGACAAATCCCAGCACAGCAGCATCATCAACTAGTAGAAGGGTTTAGGAAGCCGAGAGGGACTCCTTCTCCTCCTTTAACAGCATCTCACCTCCCGCTTACAAGAAACCTTGTCCAAGGAGTTCAGTAATTTCCTGGTATTTGGAACTGTGATAATTTTGAGGAGTAGCTTTATAAGAAGGACTTGAATTGCTCCCCACTGCCTAAAGAGTAAGAGTTTGCACTGCCTATTTGAATTTGACACAGAACAGAGGATTTGCTGTAAGTCTGCTCTTTTCAAGACTGATTTCCTCACTGGAGGTCAGGACATCAGATGAAAGAGCACGTTAATTTTTTTTTTCCCTCTGGCTGTCTGACAAGAGACACTCTATTCCTTCTCTTCACAGGTGGCCACTTTTGTGGGCCCAGTTACTGCCATCCCAGTGTTGCTGTTCTCTGGGTTTTTTGTCAGCTTTGATACCATCCCAACATACCTCCAGTGGATGTCCTACATTTCCTATGTCAGGTACCGCTAGGGAGGCCATTAACCTCCCATCCTGGAAATGCTGTTTGTTTGCCTTTGCTTGTTTGGTTTTTTTGGGTGCCAAAGAGACTGTTCACAGCACATTCTTTGAGATTATAGACGTGCATATGATGTATAGCACATGATGGTATACCCCCCATGACAGGGGGTTTGGAACTAGATGATCTTTAAGGTCCCTTCCAACCCAGACTATTCCATGATTCTATGATTATCTCACTGCATTTTATGTTGTATATGATGCAAAATAAATAGAAACATTCAGTACAGATTATCGGCTGCAAGTCCATGTCAGTCCCCTTGAATTGAATTCAGTGGGATTGCACAGTATGCAAATCTCCCTGGATTATGCAGTGGTGGATTTCTGAAATAATAGGGACAGTATGCCCAACTGAGAAATTGGTGCCAGCACCTCATTTGGAAGAAAGTGCTGTATAAATCACTGTTCTATCCCCAGTAGACTTGTTGGGTTAAGACCTTTTCTTAAGTTTTGCCATAGCACTGCCACAAGAGGCATGGGATTTGTGTCATCTCTAATCTGAACTGGTGTTTTAAGAACCATAGGCACCTTATAGCCTGCATCTGTCGCTGTCACTGTCCGAGACGGCTATCTTACAATGGGATGATTGCCATCAGGAAATCTCTGGAGGCTGGCATAGAGGGATAGTTGAGACTAGACACTTAAATGTTTATAGCTGAAATTAGGTGAAGTGGATCTTCCCACCCTCCTTTTCCCCACCCTGCCCAAGCTGCACTATTACTGAGAAAGCCCAAGCTAAAATATCCTTGTTTGGCAAATGAGGTCTTACACAGAGACCTATCAAAGATTAGGACACCACACCCCCTCAATTAGTAGCTAGAATTCAAGAGGAGGCCTTAAACCATTGTCTAGCCCATGTGGGGTCTCCTGAAGCCAGCAGGAGCTACCATACAGGTGGGATTGATGATGGTATATCTCCTTACAAAGTCAAATCCTAAGTGCACCCAGTGTCAGGGGAGCCATGGGAACTGTGTATTGTTAGTGAAACTATAGCAAATGGAAGGAAAGAGATGTTCTAAACTGATGCCAGTTTTCATATATTTCTGATTTCAAACCGTAATTGTATCCATGTTGCTCCGTTTCAGAAAATGAAATTAATGATGCCACTTTTAAAAGGGGAATTTCTGCATATGAGCTGAAAGTAGTCTGCTTTGTATTTAAACATTTTACTTTGGAGAAATTGGACTGTACATTAACTGGAAGCAGTTAAAGGCAAAACTTCTATCTTTGTTCAATTTTATGTAAAATGCCAGTGGCATGTCATTTGCTTGATTGTATCAGGGATAGAACTTGGCCCGAGACTCATGTGTCAGAATGAGTGTTTTGAGCTGAGCTCACATAGTGGTTGTATTGCTAGTGGAGTACTTCTAAACAGATCATCAGGACTTTTCCTTGTAATCCATCCTTCTTCTTTCCAGATACGGGTTCGAAGGAGTTATTCTCTCTATCTATGGACTGGATCGAGAAGATCTGCATTGTGACAAAGATGATACTTGCCATTTTCAAAAATCAGAGGCTATTCTGAGAGAACTGGATGTAGAAAATGCCAAACTTTACCTGGACTTCATTGTTCTTGGAATTTTCTTCTTCTCTCTGCGCCTAATTGCCTATTTTGTTCTCAGATACAAAATCCGAGCAGAGAGGTAAAGAAAAAAATGGCTAAAACAATGCAGTAGGAAGATCTTTAGAAATGCGATAGAGGGCACTTGAGATTGTCTCACTGTGGCCGGCCAGTCTCCAGTGCCCAGCTAGATGCTGTTATGACCTAGCCCATAGAGAACCACAACGGGATAGTGGACATATAGTGTTAAGCCAATCAGTCCAGTTGGGTTGGGTCATGTTTTCATTACACTTTCTAGCTTTAACTAGGAAGAAGAAATGGAAGGGAATTTTACACTGCAGAATACCAATACCAAGGCAGTGTAACTGTAATAAAAAACCTGGCTGCAGGAACTTTCCATATGAAAAACAGTTTCGTGATAAGGTAATACTAGTCCTGGTAGCCAGAATAGTATAATGTTGTCTATAGTTGACAAGGTAATGAGATGCAAAATGGGAAATGCAAAGAAAATAGGATTCTCTCATCTTTTTAAATTCGGAGTTTCATCTTTGCAGTTTTCTATGTATTATTTTGCAATTCTTTTCCACAGAATTACCCCTTCTGGCCATAAGTCTGTAAATGTATTCATTAATAAGGTAAAGATAACTTTTTAATATGGATACTTTTTTAAAACAAACCTAAAGCGATTCAAGTCGTTATTTTTGTTTCTGTCTAAATTTAGAATTCTGGTGCTTTACTTGTTGAGCTGGTCTCATATCTGAAAATTGTAATGATAGGAGGAAAAGGCAGATTCTGAGCCTGTACTAAGCCTGTGGTCTGTATTTGGAAGGAACAATAGATAGCACAGGCAGTCAGACATGTTCAAGCTGTTGCTGAATGAAAAAACATTGTTTTGCAGTGTCTTTTAAGTCCTCAATATTTGATATTTAAGATACGAACTCTATTCATTATCTGTTTGATCTACCTCCTGCAAACTAAAAAATCAAAGCACTACAAGGCTCATTTTTTCTTAAATTGTGAAAGCAGAATCTATCCCTAAACCCTGAGCAATTGTTAAAGCCTGATGGAATGCAAGAGTTATCTACAGCTCAAACCTTAGGGTATTGTGTTAGAACACTCGTGACTGCCTCATATGGCAGTGTTTGTTAAATCTGCAACACGCTACATGCAGGACTCTCCTCAAAATATGCAAATGACCATATAATACTGCAGGTCTAATTATGCCAAGCAGTTTTGTTCTCATCCCGAAGTCTACATGCACAATATGGGAATTAATAGCTAATTGATCTAAAGACCAATGAAACCATTAAAAGAAGCATGCATTTGTTTTGCATATCTCACTTTTCTAAACTTGACGGGGGAGTTCCAGGTCCAAGTGGAATGGGAATTTTGTCACTGATTTTCATGGGTTTGCATTTTCAACCCAAAATGAAATTGTGGGGCCCGTACTCAATGTTGGACACCTTGCTGAACTCCCATGCAAATTCCACTACCTTCTGCCATTACTGTGTGTTTACCTTAATGTCACAGACCTCCGAGTCAGACCCACAAATTCTGTAAATGCATTGTTCCTATCAGGATGCTGAAGTCTTGTGGATTGGAAGCAACTTGATCTCAGCAAACCATTCAAGAGCTCAGCAGCTCATGATAGTAGGGTAGATGAAGAGAGACCTTGCACATCTGCTGGTCAAAATTCACCGACTTCTTTTCAAGGGCTCCATGGCTATGTCTATACTAGTAAACTAAATAGTGTCAGGGCCAGCTCTCTTAGTCCTCAGGCAAATGGGGCTAATAGGAATGGTTACTGTACTGTAGTAACTTCTAAACAGAGCCCAGACGTTGTCTGGAAAAGCTCTGGCTGTGCTGGGCTGCAGCTCTGCCATTTAGCACTGAAGACAATTGTTTTGCAGTTTTCCTGGCCCATGCCCAGGCTCTGTTTAATTTACCAGTACAGACATAGACTGCATGTATCTGTTAAACTCAGGATGCTTGAATTAAGACTGTGTTCTGGAAGACTTTAAGTCAAGTCACGTGTTTTAGGAAGGTTAGTTGAACTTTCCCTGAAGATAAGATTGACCTATGAAAGCAAGGGCAACCTTTACTGTAGAAGAAAAATAAATCCTTACACAGCTTCTTTGCATAATTTTGTTGCTGGTTTTTCACAAAATGTCCTGGAGCCAGTAGAGCTTTTATACAGCTCTGCAGGTTCTCCAGGCATAATCACAAGCGTGTATGGGCCTATATGACTGCCAGATATGAGAAATTAAGAATTTTGGCTATTCTAAATAATGCTCATAACTGTGAACAGTTTTTACATAAGTCACAATCTGAAATCCCTTGGCACAACGTGACTTGATTATTTCAAGACTCTCAAAATATTTATGAATATTACAGGCTGTTCAGATGCTGTTTGCAAGCAGAGAAGAGACTGCCTTTGCCAAATTACGCTTTTGTTGCACCCTGCTGGTCCAGCTGTAGGCTAGCCAAGTATGAAAGAGCATGACATTCATGGCATTAAATACCTTCAGGGTTCATGTTTTGTGTTTACCAATGCCATTTACCAAATACCACATTGAAAATCACTTGCAATTTACCAAATGAAGTAGCTTTGCTGACATTTCAACACTGTTAACTTACACAACAACGATGCTGTCTTCTCCCATTTAGACCAATTTAGCAGTATGACTTCCTTTGATATTGTCTTGCAGTCTGTGCCTATTCCTCTCTTTGTATGATTTCTTATTTTATCTCTTTAGTCTGCACGATGTCCTCCTGTACTGTAACTTTGTATTGTATTATGGCAGCCAAAAGTCTGGTCCTCCATGGGTGTTCCTAAGAAAATGCCTGGTCTGGAATATTTTTTGTCACTCTTTTTTTGTTAGATATGCTTTTTCCCAGCCATCTGCTGGCAACATTTAGCTGAAAGTTACTGTTCTAAGGAACACTTTCAGACTGTAGTATCCCAGTAAAGAAATAAATTAATTCTGTTGAAACTCAGTGCTACACATAAATGAGATAATCATTCTTTCCCTCCTTAGCTCTAAAATTAACTAATGATATCTCTTTTGCCACTACTGTGTGACAGAAGTATTTAAAGTCCATCCCAGTTACGTTTCCACATACTGCAAAAATTTTTAACATAGTCTCAACTTGGCTTTTTTCTGTTTATGTGGGAATAAATTCTAACAGGCCAGTATAAAACATTCCCAGGTTAATGGACTGAGCATACATATGCTGTAGTGTTAAGCAAGCACGTTGTGAAGCTCTGGAGGCTTCATATGAAAGAATAATGAGGCCAGCAAGATTCTAAAGACTTCAAATCCTCAATTTATATAGCCATATATAAATAACCATTAACTGGTTGAAATCAATCCCATTATTACCATTCAAACCAGTCACAGTCCGGCTAAAAGTTGCATTAAGAGGCTAAAGGTTTTTTCAAGGTCTCTTGAAGACTGAATGTATGATTTCTGTTGGGATTGCAGGAAGACTTTAGTGTTCTGGTGGTCTCCTTTGTTTTATTTGGACTTATTTTGTGCATGTTGCCTTGGTTACTGTGTGCATCAGTTAAGACTACATGTGCTTCAAATCGTTTTTTGTTGTTTTTCTTTGCAGAAACTTGCATATAATCTGAAAAACTATGAAAATTTTTAAAAAGAACTTAAGTCATTATTATTTACAATTAAATAAAAGATTTTGAAAGCAGATTCTACTCACATAATAATTGAAAAAAATTCATCTTTATGGATGAAAGGGAGTAAAAGAAGAATATCTGATGCTGAAATCCTGTCCAGTCCTTAATATGCGGAGCCCAAGATATCTTTTTTTTAGTTAAAGGAGAGGAATATATATATACATAATAGGGAGAGTTGGTTATGTAAGTGGGAGATAATGAACACTTGAGTCCAAGTACTGGATCTATCCAATGACTGGCATTTCGATCTACTCTTTTGTGTTGAAGTCTATGTTGTCAGCAGAAGTGAATGTTTCATTAAACATCTGTTTCAAGAAAGCAGTGTGGTGCGTAGTGACTGGTACCAGCCCAGTGATCTTCACAAAGGAGGTCCTGTCTGTCCTATTTACTCAACACTAGATGGATGTTTTCAACTCTAATAGGATCCTTTGAAGCCCTGTTCCAACAAAGTGCTTAAGTATCTTAATAACCTCTCCATCTGCATTGTCATATGTGAATAAAAGAAACAAAGTCCAGGCTTAAGTGGTTTGCTGGGTGAGGGCTGTGTTGCACAGGAAGGCTGAGATGTTCGCTGTCTCAACAGACTCCGAGACTATATTGAAAAATCCATTTGCTTTGGATTAGTCTGTAGGAGTTTACAGCTTTACAATGATCTTGAATTAATCTTTTCAAGTCACAAAATACTTCTTTTGAGGGGAAGGGGAGAATAAAAATCAAGCATGGAGATAAGTGTATATTTTTCTGTATAAGTACTGTTGCTTTGCGTAACTGCTTTTGTTATCTTCATAGTTTTGTTAAGGAAAAATGAACTTTTTTTTTTTTTTCTTTCTGTACTAGAAGTGCTGGTCCAGAGCTGCTTTACATTTGAACAATGTCAGCATTTATTTTTACTTTCCAAACTAAGCAGGAAGGGATCTTAATTAGTTAATTTTCAGTGTTAACTTTTATTGGAATATTATTTTATCTTTTTGTCTCCTGCTCTGTGACAATTGTATTCAGGAACGATAACAAAGGGCAGAGGGAGAGACTTGAGGTGCAATGGTGAAGTTTCCAAACAGCTCCTCAGAAGCTGTGGGTGAGGAGAGTGCAGATGACATGCACTCTTTCTGCAGCCTCATGCACCTTCTTTAATGTTGCCTTTGCTCACTGAGCTTCAGGTCCAGTCTCATGTTGTGGCTGTGTAGGCGAATAGTTCA